GGATGGTGCGATCTGACACTGATGTACCTTGACCTTGGAGTTCACCTCTAATCTCTTTGGAAGTTGTTCTGGGCTCTTTGGTTACCATTCGCATTATCCGTCTCTTCAATTTGTCATCAATTTTCCTCTTGCAGCCACGTCCAGGGAGGTTGGCTATAGTGCCGTGGACCTTACACTTCTGAATAATATGTGCCACTGTAGTCACAGGAACATCAAGCTGCTTGGAGATGGTCTTATAGCCTTTACCTTTAACATGTTTGTCTATAATTTTCTTTCTAATCTCCTGAGACAACTCTCTCCTTAGCTTTCTGTGGTCCATGTTCAGTGTGGTACACACCATGATACCAAATAGCACAGTGACTACTTTTCACCTTCTAAAGAGGCAGACTGACTGATTACAAGTTTGAAAACACCTGTGATGCTAATTACAGGACACACTTTAGTTTAACATGTCTCTGTGGTCAAATTATTTTCAATTCTTTCTAGGGGTACCATCATTTTTGTCCAGGCCAGTTTCATTAGTTTCTTTTTTAAAATGCTTCTGTTGAACCACAATTCAAAAGCAATGACTGATTTTCATTAGTTAATTTTCAGTAAATTTTTATTTATTACTTTTGTCAGTTTCACGTTATTTCAGTGACTATTGTGAGTTTTTCTTTGTTTGACAGAAGGGTACCAACAATTTTGTCCACGTCTGTATGTAGCACGTGTGAGCATTTCCTGCCCAAACATGATCAGAATCATCTTTATTGTCCAAGTGTGCTGAACACATGAGGAATTTGACTTCAGTGCAGTGGCCATCAATGTGTATGCACAATGTTCTTCCATATGGCAACAAGTAAACAAGATAAGACTGAGAGAACAAGAGAAAAAAAGGATGTGCAAACAAGAAAAAGAAGTACTTGAGGTGACTGACCTCCAGGCCCCATGGAGCCCATGCCTGCTCCACTACTCAGACGGTTGGCATTTATGGGCTGCCCTCCTGGCCCCAATCCCATCCCAATACCACCTAGACCTCCTGCACACAAATACACAAAAGGACAAAGGTTTAACTGTCTAACACTAATAATGAAGTAGTTCACACACAGTCTATTAATTTATACAGGGGTCAATCAATAACAGTATTGACATTTATCCTAACAGATATTAAACCTTTTGCTCAGTCAGCTCTCACTTGTTGATGTAAAGCAAAGTACAACAAAAATAACAACTTATCCCCATTGCTATTCATCCACTGCATTTTCAATTACAGAATGATGAAGAATTGAGGGATGAAAGGTTGTCATAAAAAATAAAAAAAAATACAGCCTTTAATTCAGCTTGATAAAACTGCACCGATTGCTTATTTAAAACACCTTCCTTTTGAATTATTTTTTTTTACACATTTTTCTTTCTTCAAGTTTATTTCACCAGCTGCTTATTTGGTTCATTTTGTACATGCCCTTGAATTCATTTATTCTTTTTACCTGCTGCACATCATTTTACCCAATCCAATGCAGAGTTCTAATAGTTTTACTCACGAGGTAACTGATGTGATTTTTCTACTTGACGAAAATCATCAGGTGGAAGAGATTTCTCATCCTATAAAACCAGACAAAATGTGTAAAATTTTATTTTCACATCATCTGTGCTAATTTTTATATAAAAACTAATCATAACATACCATTTTAACATGCATCTGTCTGTCAAACAGCATCTGTCCATTGAACATGGCTGAATCCTGAGTCAAGGAGAAGGTTATGGTAAAACCGTACATTTTTTGTATTGTTTTTTTCTAATTAATGTTCAGTTCTGAAGGATACATATGGCCTGCACAGCCTCCAGTGACTGCTCAAAAGTCACCATTCCCATCCCACGGCTCTTGCCATCTTTATCCTCCTTTACATCTGCTCGTTTCACCACACCTGCCATGCTAAACACCTCCTTTAACTTCTTCCAACCCACTTTAAAATCAAGCTAGAAAATGACAGAAAGACAGCAATATATTTAATATATATTTAATTACAGCGAATAATCATCACTAGCTAGATTTGACAACTGTTTTTTTTTTTTTTTTTTTATTTACACAGTGTCCTCACATTGGCTACAAACACTGTGGTGCCTAGTCGTCCGGCCTGCAGTGCATGGATGACCTCAGGTGGGATATTGGGGTTATTGGCAATGGATGATGGGAGGTTCATCCCGCCAGGCCCCATGTCCTGCCCACGACCTCCTGGTGGACCTCCTCCCATGCGCTGTAGCACACGACGAGCATGTTCCCCATCAGGGTCCTTAAACAAAAAATACATTACGATATAATAAAGCAAATGCCAAAGGACATAGATAAACACAGACACCTGTACAATGCAATGCCACAGTGTTGTTTGGTATTATTTCAGTGTCTATTATCGTTTCAGTTCCACTAAAACATTTGTGGGGCAGCACGGTGGTGCAGTGGTTAGCACCGTTGCCTCACAGCAAGAAGGTTCAGGTTTGGGCCCCACCCGGGACCTTTCTGTGTTGAGTTTGCATGTTCTCCCCGTGCTTGCGTGGGTTCTCTCCGGGTACTCCGGCTTCCTCCCACAGTCCAAAGACATGCAGGTTGATTGGTGTCACACGCATGTGCGCGTGTGTGGTTGTTCATCTATGTGTTAGCCCTACGATGGATTGGCGACCTGTCAAGGGTGTACCCTGCCTTCGCCCGATTGCCGGCCGGGATTGGCTCCAGCCCCCCCCGTGACCCCGCTCCGGGATTAAGTGGTAGAAAATG